TCCCTCTGCTTGCGAAAGCTCATAACCTAGTCAAGGATTATCCCTTTTGTTGGTGCTCAATCTTCTGCCTTTTCTCTTCTCAAGGGGGATGTCCTCTTAGTGATGAGCACTGCCCCATATAGCTCCAGTCTTTACTCTTCCTAACTTATCCCTGTAGATGAGCAGGGGTCCTTGTTGGGACTCCAAGCTTGTGGGTCAGGGGGAAGTAGCAGGCTACGCATGTTGGGGTCAGTGGGGAGGTCTGTGGTCTTGCCCCAAGAAGTCCACCAAACCCCTAGCTTCTTTGGTATGAATCTCTCCTACCCCATTTTTGTGGTTAACTGTTTGTCAATCCCAAGGGTCTGCCCAACAGCTGCAACTCAAGTGAAGAACTTAGTTTTAACCAAACATGTTCAAGTGGCCTGTGGTGATAAAGAAAAGCTTGGGTGTTGCAGCAGTTTTTCTTAGCTTCTTCCTAATCATGGAGATATCTCCATATTTGAAGAATATCCTCTCTCTCAGAGTGCCACCACAGTGATTTTCATTCACAGTTGCCCAGCACAAAGGTACTTTGTTAATCCTAGCAAGATGCACTGGATTTTAATTTTTTCTGTCATCACTCAGTTGCCTAGATCAGCTACCAGCAGCTCATGCATTGACATTCCAGGTCAGGGCTGAGTTCAGCCTGGAGGAAGTGTCCTGACTGGTTTTCCCACACTGGTTCATCAGGGAGACAAGGATGCTGTTCCTCCTTGGGGCCAAATTTTTGTGCGTATGGGCCGCAGAGATGATCAGAGGGCTGGAGCAACTCTGCTCTGGAGACAGGCTGAGAGAGTTGGGGCTGTTCAGCCTGGAGAAGAGAAGAATCCCAGGAGACCTTAAAGCACCTTCCAGTACTTGAAGGGGCTACAGGAAAGCTGGGGAGGGATTTTTTTTACAAGGTCATGGAGTGATGGGACAAGGGGCAGTGGTTTCAAACTACAAGAGGGGAGATTTAGGTTAGACATTAGGAAGAATTTTTTTCCTGTGAGGGTGGTCTGCCCAGAGAAGCTGTGCCTGCCCCATCCCTGGAGGTGTTCTAGCCTAGGTTGGATAGGGCTTGGAGCAAGCTGGTCTAGTGGGAAGTGTCCCTGCCCATGGCATGGGACTCCACTAGTCACAGACATCCAAGTAGATTTTGTCCCATTGGCCACAACTCTCTGACTTCTTCCTTTCAACCAGTTCATGATCCACCTCACTACCTGACCAGCAAGAGCACACTTCCTCAGTTTATCTACGAGGATGCTGTGGGAGACAGTGTCAAATACCCAGCTACTTTGCCTTTGCTTTACACCAGCTGAATAAACCCAACTCATAGTTTCATAGGGTGCAGCTGCAGTCTGTGAAAGTAGAGGCAGATCTCTCTCTCTGCTGGTCACCCTCTTTCCCCAGCAGGGTACCAGTTCCCCCATTAGCCAGAGATCTGGAGATGTATGGCTGAGTTCTGCACACACAGGGTTAAAGTATGAGCTGGTCAGGCAGTTCAGGGTGTTAACCTAGCATGGAGTGTAGAGAAGAGGGTAGAGGAGCCTTCCTTGAGCAGCTCTAGGCCTTTATCCTCTGGATAGGGACATGCATCTCCTCCACTCTCCCGTGCTTTTCCATCTCGGTTGATCTTGTCCTAGTCTGATGGTAACCCAGCTTCTCAAAGACATTCAAGAAAGCCTATCATATGCTTAATCTTTTATTAGACATGAGAAAATCCACATTGCTGTGAATGTCTGGGTTATGGATGAGCCTCATCTGTATTTCACACCTCACTAGCCATCAGAGAAGCTTTCCAATTTCCTCCTAGCTGCTCTCCCCACAGCCCTGCCCCTCTCACTGCTTGTCCTTTGCTCTCTCTCTCACTCCCACCACTCTCCTCTGATCTTCTGATTTTTCTACACCCGTGTCACGCCTGTGGCTCCAGGTTTCCAGATGCTTTGCTAAGATGTCAGAGCGCACAGTTATTGCCTGGGGAAGGTTTTACACTGCAGCCATGGGGATATTTCCACATTTGCTAGGTGGGGAATTGAGAAATACATCTCACTTCTCACCTGTGTTTTTGACTGAGCTCCCTGATGCACATGTCCAGGATGCAGAGTAGAGTGCAGGTCCTTTGCTCTGCAACTGAATGACCTCTGCTGTGGTGGAGCTGTGGGGTTCATTTCCCAGTAGTTTTGATGGCTGTTGCATGAAACCACAGCTGCTCATGGGGGTCACAGTCTCCCTTCTCCAACTGCAGAGACTCAAGTGGGTGACATAGCCCCAAGTCCTGAAGCCAAAGAATGGTCAGTGACTTCTACAGTGGTGGAAGAACATGTGACTGTGCAGCCAGGTGAGTGCCTGCTCCACCTATT